TTTTCTTTTTTTGACAAGCATTGTTGAGCCACACCATAAAATAAGTACCTAAATAAATAAGTAAATAATACACGATAAAAATTTTAGGCAGAATTTCCCTTAAAACTAAACAGGAAACTTTTAACTCCTGTATCTTCGGTTCCATTTGAGATGATCGTGTTTTCAGTCCAAAAATATTCAAAAAAAAAACTCTCTAGGATGCGGTAAAATACATTCCATGCTATAAAATTTCATGAACGAGGTTCCTTTTCGCGAAAGAGGCCTTTTTTTACTGCGCAATCTGATAACCTCGCCTCGGTATCTGCCCGCGGACAGTTTTATCGCGCCAGGTGAACAGCTGTACGTACATACATCAGCCAGTACTCGACCTTATTCCCCATGAGCAGGGGTCCGGAGCTAGCTCCGAATCGGGCTCCCAGGCGTAGAGTGAATGTACACGCGGGTGAGTACTCCTCTGCATTCAGCGCAATTGAAGGCGCTAGCATAGCCCCTACTACATCGCGTAGAGTGAGTGTACACACAAGTGAGTACTATTCTGCGTTCAACGCAATTGAAGGCGCTAAAGGGCGCTTGTGTACATCGCCTGCATCGCGTCGTATGACTGTGAACGTCCACAGCCACACGGGGAAATACTTTTCAGCATTTTTCGTAATTGAAGGCGCTGATTATCAGTTGGTGTGAATTTGTACTCGAGCGAGTGCTCTTTGGTATTTGACGCGATTAAAGGCGTTTATGTCATCTCCGACGATAGTATCACAACAGAAGCGCCCAACAGTCAACTCCATTGGGGGGNGGGGGGGGGGGGGAGAGACTCCGATTTTCAATATCTAAAAATGTAGCTTCGGCTTGAACTCTGGTGTACTGTAAACACATGCCGAGCTTTCATTGATTGAAATTTGACGAAAAGTTATGAAACAAATAATGTTAGCCATGAAATTTAGTGTGTGTAATTCAGTAGTTTTCAGAGAATTTTTCTCACAGTATAAAGTATCAGAGTTATTGACTTCCTCGATGGTCTGAAGCACTGAAGCATATTATTCTTTGTGAATCACTCTTAATAAAAAGGTTTCCTTTTTTCTTGTGAAGTGTCGAGAATTTTCTTTCACAAAAGGATAAAAGTAACTGACTTTGCTGAGTTTGCCACTTCAATGATCAATGCATACTGGAACGATTTCAGCCACTAATCGCCCAATCTTGACTAAAAGGGCGCTTGGGGGGGGGGCGGCTTAAAGCCCGTGATTTTCTTGTGAACTATGAATGCGTGATCAAGGCTTATAACAACTGAATCAATAAAACATGATAACTTTACACTGCATTATTTCAAAAGTGACAGAAAAGTTCGACATGACCGTGCCGGCCAA